ATTTCAATACAAGTGGGTTGTGTGCCGTCCCTTTATTGTTGAAATTTATCGCCAACAAGTCACAGACACCTACTGTAAAGAACCGCGACCCTATAAAAACCTGACAGTATTACTTGAATATGCTTGATTAAATATATATTAGTATTCTATTTATAGAAAGGCAAAATACTGGTAGTTTCAAACTACTAACACTTTATAGACATAAAAACTGTGACATTTTTTTTTTCCGAAAAAAATTATAAGTATGTAAAATCCCTACATTACTGGCTTCCTCATTTTGTCTATCGAAAGCTTGGGGTTTGAATGCAATATGAGCTTTCAACATTATATCTTTTCTTTAGTTAACTTTAGAATACTATTTTTATGATTATTTTACAATGAAGTAACATTTTGTGATTGGAATTTCTGGCTCTATTTGTTTTGCCAGTGATGAAGCCAGTAATATAGAGATTTTATTCTCCATGTAAAGTCAAAACAGCTTAGTCTTTATGTTATCATTAGCTGATCAAGTGATATGTCCACTTCCACCCCTATCTTGTTTGGTTCCTTTTTTCAATTCCAGTAGCCAGCCCTACATAGCTTTTTAATTTAGCGATAAAATTTTTCGTTATACTTGTTTGTTTACTTTTTTTTATAAGACGGCGTGTGGGGGTTATTAGGTTAAAGAGTGTATTTTAAAGCTTTATAAATTTTGCATATAATAATAATAAAATAGATAGTCAAAGATCGTGAAGATTGATTTGCTCTATCAACTGATGATAAAATTATTGGAAATGCTAGAACTATGTAGGCGCTAGGCCTGTTGAAGAAAATGATGTTGAACCAAAATAAGAAATCTCGGTATTGGCTATTCGCCAGTTTTCGACTTTGGGACACTCTGGATAGCTGAAAAGCGGCATATACACTGGAAATAGAGCAACTATGTCAGGTAGCTCTTCTTATCTAGATCCTGATGACCTGTAGAGAAACAAATCCAGGAAACTTTTGTATTGCTATAATATGGGTGTCCGTGCCATCCATACATAGAGAGTGTTAGCGCACTCTCCGATTAGAGGGATGAATATTTGCCCTGTTAAGCCGCTACAATCATATATTTTTGTTCTTTTTGTAATACATTATTGGATGGTAACTTCCTTCACACGAAAGGCTAGGAATGTAAGGATTTCTTCTAGTAATAAATCAGTTCAGTGAATATTACTTTTAGTTATAGATTACCACCTTAAGCCTTTTCTCATACTTCCTAAGGACACAGCAGACAGTTTAAACCAGGTGCAATGTGATTTTATCTATATAATTTTGTAACGGAATTAGAAAAAATTAATATAATGAATATGTTAATATTATAATAATATATCAATTTCTAGTTATTGAAGTTGCACGTCGACATTTTTAATATTGATTCATTTGGGTAACATGTTCATTATTTGTGAATATTATGTTTAAACTTTTTTGTTTATTACATGAACTCCAAATAAAGTTTCGAAATTATCTTCAAAGAAAATATGGGAGAATTAAGTTGTATTGTGGTCATTTAAATGAAAATTCTTAATTCAACAGATAAGTGTTTTTTTTTTAAATATAGAGCGATAGCAAACTATTTATCATACATTTTTCTTATTGGATAATTGATTGATGTTTCTCATTCTGTTGATGCTTTATTGAATATTAATTGAACTTTACGTTTTTCTTCTGATTTTAATAAATCGACTAACAAGATAGGCTAGCTCAAAATTACAAAAAATTCAAATTTTGAAGTTTCAATAAGTCCCTTCAGTCCTTCACACTTGTTGTGGCCTTCCACAACACTTTTGTTAATCATACACAAAGTGACGAAATATGCACCGTCTTGCATTCCAGGTTACCTGCTCTTACATTTTTTAGCTAATGTCAGATATTTTGAGTCAGTAAGAGCTCAGACACACTGTCTGTGAGTCAGCTGTATTAATATCATGTGAAATCTAAGTATATTGATTGTTTAAGTAGATAAGAGCTTAGGTTTACCGTGTGAGTTAACTGTATCCAGACAAGCTTGTCTGTTTCAAGTATGTTTCTTCAGTTAATAAGACCTCAGACATATTCTGCAAGATGATTATCTGTTTGTTTTTGAAGTTAAGCACAAAGCTACACAATGGGCTATCTGTGCTCTGCCCACCACGGGTATCGAAACCCGGATTCTAGCGTTGTAAGTCCACAGACATACTGCTGTGCTACTGGGGGGCGGATGATTATCTAGGTATCTTGTCTGTTCCACATATACTGTATAAGTTCTTAGGAGCTCAGATGCACTATCTGTGAGTTGATTATCGAGATATCTTGTTTGTCTCAAGTATAACGTTTGACTTGGTGTATAAGGGTTTAGATATATTGACTGCGAGACAACTAATCAATGCCTTCCTGATAAGGATCAATGAGAGTTTATTTTAAACTTTTATATACAGCATTTTTTCTAACAGTAAAAATTAGTTTCTTTTATATATATTGCATTTTTTTTTTCATGGTGTAGTAATTTTAAAGCTCTTTGCAACAGTTTCTTAGACCAATTATGAGACAGAGTTTGCTTTATTTTGTTATATTACATCTAGTACAAATAAGGCAGCAACGTGCATCTAGATTTTTATTAACACTGTTTGTGAATAATAGATATATTATTTTTTATCTCTCTTAGAAGATCAGAAGTATATGTGTGAACCACAACAAACCATAATTTCCTGATCGATGTATTAATGAATCTTGTCTCTATCATGAGTGTTGTCTACACGTTAAAGAAAAACACCACGAATTTCCATAATAATCACGATTCATCAGAATTCAGTATTGTGTAACCAGTTTTGTGAAAAATCCATTATTTTCTCTAAAATATTAGAGACGAGCTGCTGAGAACATTAGGAGCATAACTCCTGACACTGCAAACGAAGAGAATACTGTGGAGGTGGCTGAGGCATGTGTGCAGAATGTCATTCTCCGTACTTCCCAAAAAGGCTCTTTGGTGGACATCACAGGAGAAGAGGAAACGGGCCATCCAAACGAGACCTGGGAGAGAATTGAAAGAATACAACCTGGCCTTCGAATCAGCTGGACGACAAGCGGTTGGCCGAAGGCGATGGAAGTCCATCGTGGAAGCTTTATATGACACTCGGCTCAAAGAATATTGAGTGAGTGAGTTATTTTCAAGGATTTCGATTTTAAAGACTTGAATTAGTTATTGTTAAGCACAAAGCCACACATTAGGCTATCTGTACTCTGTCAACCACGGGTATCGATACCCTATTTTAATGTCATAAGCATGCAGACTTACCGTTGAGCTACTGGAGGCAGGTTTTAGAGGAAATATTTTTATTAAGTTTAGGCTATAATTGGCTTTCTTTAACTTAATTTACATTTATTTTCCTTGTATGTAGTTTAAGTTAGACTTAACTTATTGGAACCACGTATAAAATAGCATGAGTTTATTTGGACCTAGTATAATTTGTATTTAGTTTATTTAAGCTTAGTATAATTTGTATTTAGTTTATTTAAGCTCAGTATAATTTGTATTTAGTTTATTTAAGCTTAGTATAATTTGTATTTAGTTTATTTAAGCTTAGTAGAATTTGTATTTAGTTTATTTAAGCTTAGTAGAATTTGTATTTAGTTTATTTAAGCCTAGTATAAGTTGGACTGAGTTTATTTTTAGTTACAGTTGGACTGAGTTTATGTGGACTTAGTATAAACTGGATTGAGTTTATGTGGACGTAGTATAAGTTGGATTGAGTTTATGTATACTTGATATAAATTGTACCTAGTATCAGTTTTATTGAACTTATTTTGATTTAATTACAATTTTACTGAGCTTAATTTTAATATTGTTACTGTAGTTTTGTATTTATCTAGCCTAGTACAAGTTGTACTGAGTTTATCTAGATCTAGTACAAGTTGAAACGGAGTTTATTAAGCTTAATAAAAGTTGCAATTATGGTGTATTTGGGCCTAGTATCAGTTGAACATTTCTTGTTTTAGTTATGGTAAGGATTCCATTTAGGCGAAACAAATCGTGCTACATATGAATTGGAAATATTAAAAAGTAGATATTATTTAAATAAAAAATATTCCACCAAAAAATAAAGAAAGAAGTTATTTCATTTAAGGCTACATCGTTTTCCTTATTTAAGTAAAACGGAAGCTACATCAGTAACGCCCGTCGTTAATCACTCTAGAAGAAGTTGGGTAATTAGAATTACTAGTTATCTACTTTCTATATAAAAATACATATAATTCCATGGTTTGGTGAAGAAACGAGATAAGAAAACGTTATTTGGGATAACTGGTTGATAACCAGGTGATTATGTTAACTACATAGCTAGTTTTTCAACGTGAACTTACGATAAGTTTAACTTATCTTAACACCCGCCAGGTAGAAAGTATAACAGTTTGTTTAAGACGAAACTCTTGAAATCAGTTTTTATAACAGAAACTTTTGGTCTGTAAAGTTTCATCGCTCTAATATTCATCTTGATGCACCACGTTTATGACACATAAACAGAAAATCGATCAATCCTGTAATAGACATCGTAATGATACTAATAAGCATATAAAAGGATGTATCTTAATGAGACTGATAAACATATAAAATTGTGTATCGTAATGAGACTGATAAACATGTAGAAGGATGTACCGTAATGAGACTGATAAACATGTAAAAGGATGCATCGTAATGAGACTAATAAACATATAAAAGTATGTATCGTAATGAGACTGATAAACATGTAGAAGGATGTATCGTAATGAGACTGATAAACATGTTGAA